TTTGAATGGTGGGTTGAGATGGGAAGCTAGTGTCCGAGTGGATCGAAATCACGATAGCTCAAATGGTAGGGCAGCTGCGTATCTAGCGGAAGGTCGTGGGTTCGAATCCCGCTTGTGACACTGCCTTTTATATCTTAACCAATACCTTACATAGAAATTACTTAATTGAAAAAAGTTAGTTGGTCAATCGGACCACGACATCTGATGGGTTTTTCTATTATATTCTTTCAAAATCTCTTACTTCAAGATATTGGTAGTATATTACATCCTGTTTAAACTTGCTATGAAAAATAAAAACTGTAAAAGCCAGTATTTACGTCCACTTTATAAAGATCATTACTTTTAACATAATAACATAACAATAAAGTAATAAAATGGTGAGATTTCTCCATTGGTCTGCGGATTTACTTGTAATTTGTTCGTTAAAAATCATTTTCGTACTTTCCTCGATGTTCTGACTTGAGAGACGCATTTCGGTCTCACGCCATCTTCAATAGTGGGTCAGTACTTTATTTTACCGGATTCGTATTATAATTTTATAAAGGGCGAAAGGAGTCAGTCGATGTTATCATTGTGGCCAACACTAAAAATGACGAAATGCCCAACGGATCTTACAAATTTTGGGCAGATCTGCATGAATGTGAAGAAAATAATCTGCAGTAATAAAATATTGTACAAAATAATGTATTGTTAGCCTTGTCTCTTTATAATATCCACCATTACCCATATGCAGAAAGGGTTTTCACTTGAATATATCAATAAATGAATAAACCCCATGCGCTATTCTTTCTTTCGTTTCTTTGCCAAAAATAAATGTATTATAAGATGAAATATTTCGAAGGAATCGAAGGATCAAAGGAAGAATCGCAGCATTGTAGTCTTATACTTTTCTTTTCTTCATATTGAATAAAGAATTACGCCCCTTGGATAAAACTGGGCCTAAAGAAAGATAGAGCGAAAAGCTGAGGATGACAGGAGTGAGTCATGTGTGCTTAGAGCCACCCTCGAAGCCACCCTAGGAAAGCAGAAAATCGCCTAATGAAGGCGAGAATTTCATCGCTTCATTTAACAGAAACCAAGTTCGCTGAGGGTCGAAAAGTGAATTTTTACCCTCACACTATATCCACTTAAACACTACTATATTAATTGAATATATAATTATCGATCGATTTTATAGTAATAGGCAAAAAGTGATATAGATGGTTGAACAGGAGCAAAATTGAAAAATTTTGCTCTTGGTTGCAACATCACTTTTCTGTAAAAAATGCTGGAAAGTGCAGAAAACCATGGATATAAATCAGATGATGATTAAAGAAGACTTGGAAGTGGAGCCTTCTAGCTCATACTGCTTTCCTGGTCACTAAGTTCAGTCTGTAGATTCCTTTTACCTGGTTTTCTTTGTATCCAAATAATTAAGGTTTTTAGTTGAGATAAAAAAGTCAGTGTCACGAGCGGTATTCGAACCCACGATCTTCTGCCAGATACGCCGCTACTCTACCACTTGAGCTATCGTGAACCACTAGAACATTAACTTCCCATCTCAGCCCCACCTTTTGAATTTTCCCTTTTTGGCAAATTCCTTCAAGAAACTCTTAAAAAAACAAAAACAAAAAATACAAGAATGACACGTCTACACATAAAACAAAAACTTTGAGCCTTGAAGATGATCTCAATAAAGATCGAAACTTTTTCAATTAATTAAGGATTTTAGTTGAGATAAAAAAAGTCAACGTCACGAGCGGGAGCAAAAAGGAGGGAATATTCAAAAGGTGGAGTTGAGATGGGAAGTTAGTGTCCGAGTGGATCGAAGTCACGATAGCTCAAGTGGTAGAGCAGGGGTCTCTAGCTGAAGGTCGTGGGTTCGAACCCCGCTCGTGACACTGACTTTTTTATCTCAACTAAAAACTTTAATTAATTGAAAGATATTAATTGGTCAAGCGGACCACGAAAACTGGTGAATTTGTATCCAAGGTTATTTAAATGTTGAGCACGTGCTTCACATTTCTTCTTCCTCACCTCCTCACCTCCAAATCTACAATTTGGATCATCATCATATCCTCAAACCTGATGCTTCGGCCGCCATTTCTTCCTATGAAAAACCGACTTTTTGGTTTCGTTTCAGTACAATTTTGTTGTACTTTTTCAGTTTATGTTAAGGTCCGCGCTTTAGAAGTGACAAGAATGCTACAATTACCCAAAAAAATACAGGTATCCAATTGGCCACACCATGGATGAGGATGTTGAATACTCATTCTGAACATAGATTTGTTGAATCATGTTTCTCTTTTTCAATTCATATTAAGTTCTGTTAACGAGTCCTACTGTTGTATCTGTGTTTTTATATTTTTTTATTATTTATGATGAGAGTGCTACAGACGAGGTCATATCAGACCGGTGACGGTGTTTTTGAAAAAAAAATTAAGTATACAGGTTCGATGGATTCGAACCGAGGACATTTACCTAACAGTGATGACCTAAACCGTAGCGTCCACATACGCCTTTTTTTGCTTCGTTTTGTACAAAAAGGATGGTAGTGAATGCGTCTACTTGTAAACGAATTAAGGACTACGGAAAAGTTCTTCCATTTTTTGTCATGAATCATATATTATGAATTAGGAATCAGAATAATAATTATTATTATGTTTGAACACAATGCTGCAATTAATTTTTTTTGTATTGCTAATAATTTTGTGTTTTATATTCATCGTACCATTTCCTCTTTATTTTCTAATACCAAAGTGTTTGTACCCCAGTTGCATAGTGTTGCCATTTTGGCAACATAGCCTAGATCTTTTAGTATTAGGGCTTAGAGGAAGTTATAATTTTTAAAAAATTATTTTCCACTTTTTCTGGTTGACTAGATATTACAGAAAAAATAATTTCTCAAAATTCTAAAAATTCATGCAGTGTAGGGTTAAGTTTAACCCTTTCTAACTGAAGCAATGAATTTTCAAGCCTTCGTGAGGGTTTTTTTAAGGAGGTAGGTTTAGCAGCATTTCTATTGCATATGTAGGGATTGTTCTCATTGTTTCTGTGATAAATAGATTGCTAGATTTTGATGCTGCCTAATGTTTGGGTAGCTGGTGCAGGTACGAGTTACAGATTATTTTTTTATCAAAGATTTTAGGTATTTCACCTATAAACCGTAAAGGGTCCAGGGTGAGAGATATTTTTAGTAAACCGTTGAGAGCAACTGTAACGTTAAAAAGAACAAGGTTGGTTCTTGGGCGAGTTTGCAAAGGTAAAGTCGAGATTTTAAAAGTTAAGGCGGGCGCAAAAGTTTCTTTGACCTTCTTTCAAAATAAGAGTGACTTGTTTTTTAAATGTCCTCCTTTCTATATTTCAAGCAGAGTTTATTTTGTAATGTGTGGTCATTAGTGACCGTTAGTCGATGATTATTCGGAAAATCGTGAGATGCGGTCTGGTGTGATTCATGTTTCAGAAAAACATTTTCTTTATCGTGCCAACGTTTCGATCTTTATTGAGATCATCTTCAGAGCCTGGGATTTACAAGCATTGTTTAAATTGAACAAATACATGTAGGATGTGAAAAATGTGAATTTGTACAATGCAAAAAAATATTTTTTAATTTACAATTAATTAAGGTTTTTAGTTGAGATGAAAAAAAGTTAATGGCACGAGAGGGATTCGAACCTACGACTTAGGCTAGATACGCCACTGCTCGACCACCTGAGCTATCGTGACCTCGATCCACTCGGACATCAACGCCCCATCTCAACCCCACCTTATGAGTTTTCCCTCCTTTTGTCATTTTTCTAATGTCGTGTAATCGATTTGGATTCGGATTGGAAGGGTGGTAGAGCAGCGGCGTATCTAGCCGAAGGTCGTGGGTTCGAATCCCTCTCGTGCCATTAACTTTTTTTCATCTCAACTAAAAACTTTAATTAATTGTAAATTATTAATTGGTCAAGCGGACCACGAAATTAGTGAATTTAATGAATTAAAAAATGAAGTACACTTCACTAAAGCTCTCCGTCGCCATTTCAATTGTCGTCGAGAATCCAAATCGATTACACGACATTTGAAAAATGACAAAAGGAGGGAAAACTCATAAGGTGGGATTGAGATGGGGAGTTGATGTCCGAGTGGATCGAGGTCACGATAGCTCAGGTGGTAGAGCAGCGGCGTATCTAGCCGAAGGTCGTGGGTTCGAATCCCTCTCGTGCCATTAACTTTTTTTCATCTCAACTAAAAACCTTAATTAATTGTAAATTAATAATTGGTCAAGCGGACCACGAAATTAGTGAATTTAATGAATATTTTTTAATATTCAATCAAAGTATTTCTACTCACTCAAAGTGTTTGTTTTTTGCGTAATTGTGTCATGTTGAGAGTCACTAGCACAACACGCAAGAATGGCAAAATTACCCAGAAAACAAACACCTTGAGCCCTGAAGATGATCTCAATAAAGACCGAAACGTTGGCACGATAAAGAAAATGTTTTTCTGAAACCTACATCACACCAGACCGCATCTCACGATTTCCGAATAATAATTTTATTTAATATTTATTTATATATTTTTTAATAGACTAGAATATCGTTCTTTTACTTGTGCTCACATACATGAAGTAATGTTTAGTAGAAAAATAAAATGCCAGGCAGTGCTCGGGCAATTTACTTTCTGATTGGACCATTGTTTTTGCTTCAGCCGAGACTGACGTTCCGGGGAAGGTTTGCAATGTTGATGAGCGACCAAGGGCTAGGGGCACCATAAGCGAGGATTAAACTTGTAAATAATTAAGATGCCCACACCTGGCGCAGGTACTACTACCTTCCATTATTGCCTTCCGCAGAATTGCTCCTGAACCCCTTTTCTCCGACTCAATTATTCCTGGGGCGTCACTTACCTCTTTCCACGTCCCCTCCCGATGTCATCTGATATATTTCTCACGCCGGTAATTTACGAAAATCAGGTTAAAATTGTTAAAAACTTTGAAATTCATTTTGCAATTGATCATTTTTTCGACCAATTTCTTTTATTAAATATAACAATAACAATCACAATTTTATATTCGTATAAGAATCAAAGAAAATTTACCATGTAGAACTGTATTTTTTGATATATTATTAAAATGCCATTAACAGAAATTATTCGAAAACGAACAACCATCAACATAACAATCTGGAATCAACAGACTAATATTTTTTAAAATTGAAGCTCTAAATTTCGTATTGTGATATAATGGTTTAAAAGAAGTTTGTTTTCTTCAAAACTTACATGAAACTGACGCGCCTTTTGTATAACCGAGCATACACATTTTCTGGTAAAATATAAAGATGAAAACGTATTGATTTTGACCTCCATCTGTGAAACTATTGTATAGGATTTTGTGTTGTCACTCCTAAGGTCTGCAGGATCTGCTGTATCATCGGAATGTGATTCCTATGGGCTGGGCTGACCATGCAGGCGTTACCTCCAGATCCAACCGGCTGGCAGATCATGACGGGATTCAAGCAACACTGCTTCCCAGTCGGGGTGCACTAGAACAGACAAATAGTTCAAAATTCACCGTTAAGACAAATTCAATTTAAACAAATTACGGGATTGCCGTTTGCGACGCAGTTGGTGACGACGAGCTGTGACGGGTTGATGTTCTCCATGGCGAGGAAGCTCTGTATACCTTGGGGCGTGCTCAGGTTGAAGTTCCCGGCCCCCATCCCCATCCCCATCCCTTGCATCTGTCCCTCGACGACAACCGCCGCCACGATAAGAATCAGTATTTTTTGCATTGTTCGGAATCACGTTTAGCCACGTTATGCCTGCCTTGTCTACATCGGGAGAATATATACTTTTGACGGAATGTTATCGTCAAGGGGGAGAAATCAATGCAAATTTTGACCTTAGAGAGCTAGTAAACCTTGTAGATTAAAAAAATAAAACACTAATTTTTTTTGTCAAAATAAATTACTGAGCTTCATACCAATATTTTTCTATATCAAAAATGTCAAATTCGAAAACGTACCGATTGCTAATAACCACCTCGTAACTTTCAGGCACATGGCACTGTAATGACTCGCTATATTTTAATGGAAAAAACATCCATATCCTTCCGGCACAAATGCACGAAGAGCATCGAGGTCCTGCCCGATTCATTAATAAACTTGTGCGAAGCATTAAAACTAATAAAAACAATAAAAATACGAAAATTTCCCTTTACTGTGCGTCATGGTAAGACCCAACTTTTTTGACTGCGTAAGGCCCAAAAATTTTGCATTTTGTTGAAAAACTGGTGTCGATGAAGGGAGGCACGTTTAATGTTTCCAGGAAATCCGTCTGGCTCTTCAGTTTCGTTTTAGTTCTAATGTTCAATTCAATCAGCTGACAATGTGCTCAGATTGGTGATTTAAACTATGTCCTTGTTTCCTAATGCACATCTTGATGATATGCATTTCACTTACGGTTACTGCAACGGTAATGCTACTCGTTCCAGCAGATCGCACCTTCCAACGACTTCATCAGAGGCTGAGGGAAACTGGTTCTTTCACTCGAAGAAAGAACAACCAGACAACAAGACAACCAGTGAATTGATGTAATTTTGCATTCCGGTAATCATAATCCGAAACCAGTACACGTGCGTTATCTTTGGTCTTTCACAATGGAGAGAGTGGCATACCTAACGTCGGAAAGAATTGTACCCTTACAATTTTACGAGGGTGATTGAAGTAGATGTTGCAAAAATCAACTCACTGCTGATGGTCATTTCGTTCCAAACTTTGCACCTTCGTAAAAGAGTGAAAGAACCAGTCAGTGAATGCATCCAAAATCTCCAAAACCTGGGGAAACACAACAATCTGATGATATCTTGGGTGCCAGGGCTCAGTGGAATTTTGGGTTACGAGAAAACAGACAGTCTGGTGAGAGGAGGATCTGCAAGACCATACATAGGCCCCGAACCTATTTTTGGGATAACAAGAACAAATATAGAATCCTCCATCGCAGAATAGATCCAAATAAAACAAAAGGAGCCAAGGAGTGGATAAACTCTAGCGGTGCTAGACGTAGTAAACTTGTGATGAAACAACCGTCACCGACACTGGCAAAGGCACGGCCGCAATTGGAGTGGGCCAAATACAGAGGAGTGGTAGGACTAGTAACTGGTCACTGGCATCTGAGAAAACATCTACACAACATGGGTATATACAGCGATGATCCCATTTGCAGATTATGTAAAAGGAGGAGTAAACAGCCACTCATATCATCTTCGAATGCGAAGCAACAGCTCAATGGAGATTTAACCTAACGTACGGAAAAAAACTTAAGGAATCAAATTGCAGCAGCGACAATCAATGACCTGCTACTTCTAAGGATAAGAATTGAGTCAATTGCACTGAACTAAGGAACTAGGAAGGTACAATAAGCCAGAAGGCTGCAGTGCCTGGGGAGCGCAAACCCTGCTTCCTAGTATTCTTTTTTACCATACCATACCATGGGTGTGCAGGTACTTCTAAGTGTGAATGTCATGTACCAGCTCGTTTTTCATTTAGCTTTATACCAGTTTGGTGGTCTTGGGTTGCTTCTGCTGCAAGGCGTTGTGAGTCGAGGATTGCGGTGTCCCAAAGGAGAGGAAGAACACAGGAAAGCATCAGATACAATGCTATGGTATACAGAAGGCTCCAAAACAAACGAAATAGTAGTGGTACACTTCGGTCTTTCAAGCAAAAATATATGTCATCAATGCTTGTGCCCTGGAAAATCTTAAAGAGGTTACATTGGCAAAAAAAGTTATCATAAGATATATTAGCCAAGCAGCTATTAAAGCATTAGCATGTAAAAGAATCACATCAAAATTAGTCAGTGAATGCTTCCAAAATCTCCAAAATCTGGGGAAACACAACAACCTGATGATATCTTGGGTGCCAGGGCACATGGGAATTTTAGGTAACGACAAAGCAGACTGTCTGGCCAGAGGAGGATTTGCAAGACCATACATAGGCCCTGAATCTATACTTGGGATAACAAAAACAAATATAGAATCCTCCATCACAGAATGGATCCAAACAAAGCAAAAGGAGAAGTGGATAAACTCTAGCTAGACATAGTAAACTTATGATGAAATAACCCTCACTAAGACTGGCAAAAGCACTGCTGCAATTGGAGAGGGCCAAACTGAGAGGAGTGGTAGGACTACTAACCGGTCACTGGCATCTGAGAAAAAATCTACACAACATGGGTATATACAGCGATGATCCTATTTGCAGATTATGTAAGAGGAGGAGTAAACAGCCACTCATATCATCTTCGAATGCGAAGCAACAGCTCAATGGAGGTTTAACCTAACGTACGGGAAAAAACTTAGGGAATCAAATTGCAGCAGCGACAGACAATGACCTGATATTTCTAAGAAGAAGGATTGAGTCTATTGACTGAACTAAGGAACTAGGAAGGTACAATAAGCCAGAAGGCTGCAGTGCCTGGGGAGCGCAAACCCCGCTTCCTAGTATCTTTTTCTATCATACCATACCATACCATTCCCTCAGCCTCTGATGAAGTCGTTAAAAGGTGCGATCTGTTGGAACGTCTCAATGTGGAAAACTAGCTTGGTATTCTCCCCTTGTAGCAGTAGCATTACAGTGTTTATTGTTGCAGTAACTGAAAATGAAGTGCATCTCAGCAAAATGCGCATTAGGAAACAAGGACATAATTTAAATCACCAAGCTGATAACATAAAGTAAACTGATTGAATTGAACATTAAAGAACTGAAAATAAACTTATGAACCAAACGATTTCTTGGAAAAATTGAACGTGCCCCCCTTCATCGACAACAGTTGTTTTGAAGAAAATGCAAAATTTTTGGGCTTTACAGAAGTGCAATCCAAAATGTTGGGTATACCGCTGGAAAATTATTGAACGAAGAAATTTTGAGGTAATTTGGAAAGCTCCAGGAGTTTGTATTTATTAACAGTTACCAATACATTAAAAAAAATCCCATTTTCAGCATTTTTGTTTTTCTGAATTTTTCCTGCAGACGTTTTTCATCAATTCTAGAATGTAAATAGGTTTGCTTACGGGAAATTTAACGTTATTTCAGTTGACACAAACCAGATTTTTCTACAGTCGGGAATTCTGACGTTTATAAACAATTTAGTGGACCTAAGTTGAAAAATTAAAAAACACCCAAAACCTGAAATTACTTCTTTACCGTTGATATTTAAACAGGGGTTTATAGGAAGTTTTTATTGCATATGGTGAGTAGAAACACCTCCTGAAATTTTCGACACTTAAAGCCAGTCACCCTGTATATATGCGGTATAACTTATATAATGCCAATCTGGCATCCACATAAAAGGTTGTTAGAATTTTCTATGTGGGCATCAGATTTCTTTTTTCTCTCTCTCTTCCTCTTTATCTCGTTTTCTTTCCCATCTATCTGTCTTTCCCCCTTTTCAATCAAACAATATATTTATCTCCAACGCTTTTTTTCTCTTTGTACCTCCATCAATCAATACATTTATTTCTCACTCTTTTTTCTCTCTATCTCCATCAATCAATATATTTATTTCTTACACTCTTTCTCTATAAGTCACATATGCCTTTTTACATATGCCAATATTGGGGCCATTCGGGTTTTCTTCTTTTGCCCTACAACATCAAGAAACAGCGGCTTGCATTTCATAAAATATTTTTGCAGCATCAGATGGCTTCTATTAATTAATCACTCTTTTTCTCTCTCTCACTCTTCTCTCTCTCTCTCTCTCTCTCTCCCATATCCATCCTTTTTAAAAACGACAGGTATAATCAACGTTCATGCCCGTATCGAACCGATTTCATAGAGGATGTTCGACTGCATTAAGGTATATTGAGGAAATTCTTCTGGAGCGGTGATCTCATTCGCTTCATTTATTGTGGACAACTTCGAGTTAATGCTCGACCTTGTCTCCCATTACTTGGGGGGTATAGGAATTACTGCACTTTCTCACAACATAAATCCCATAGAAACTTATGGGATATGATAAAGAGAAGGACTATAAATTTTTCACCTCCTCCAACGAATGTTGAAGTGCTTCAAAGCGCCCTTGTTTAAGAATTAGACTGTGTTTCACAAGACGAAATCCGATAGGTTAAATAAATAAGCGACAATAAGTAAATACTCCGCATAGGTGATTTGAAATAGAGTAAATGGTGAGTTTGTTAGTAATGATTAAGTTACATCTATGGTACGTAGTTTAAGGGGTAATTTGTAAGATCGGTTAGTTTCCTGCCTCTTCAGTTGTAAAGATTCTGCGTTAGTCTTTTTTCAATGTAAGTTTTTTTTTTTTTTTTTTTTTTTTTTTTTTTTTTTTGGCGTTATGAACTATGCATATTAGCCATGTGACAAATTCGTATATGTGTGTTCAAATTTGGGGGGTTATTGGGAAAAAAGGGCCAGGGGCAACGGTGGGAATCGAACCCACGACCGCGGCGTGAGAGTCTCTCATGCTAACCACTCGGCTACCGCGGTCCCCCTTCAATGTAAGTTCAAAGTAATTTAAAGTTATAATAGAATTTCACCGTTTTGGTAGGAAATCTTTTGACTTTGGCCCAAAATTAAGCCTGATTCAACCTCACATGGTCTATTCTTAATCGGGCGAGGATAACCCTTCTTCTACGAGTCAGGTACTCCGAAAAAGAGCCTATCGACAGCGCTGTTTATACAATTTATGTGGGTTGGTTATGTGCGGTGGTTGGGTCACCTCGTCCACTTGTGTCCCACAACTACCATCGTTTCGCAGAGACGTTCCAGCTTGAGGTATCCCTACGACAAAAACAAAGAGAGAAC